GATCCAACCCAATACATTTATCTTGAGGTTTTCTCAGCTGATCTATAAAACAAGTCTTTATGGAAGATATCCCCATGTACTTCACAAAGAGTTTCAAAATGGTCATGTACATAACCCTTTTTGTGTATACAGGATTGAGTTAATTACCACCAGGAAACTTTTTTCCAAATTGTACTGTGCTTAAACATGCCTAAAATAAACTATGGGGGGGGGGTCGGACTCTGGAAGTTGGAAGCAGCATTAGCTACTGAGTTGTGCTGAAGCAAAATGCCTTCTTGCCTTTCAGGGATCATTGCTCTGTTTGTCCTGGTGATTGCAGAGACCTGCACACCTAGACAGCCTTACAGTTAGAAAGAGGGTCTGTGAGAGCTAAAACAGAAGGGGCAACAAGCATTCTCAACAGAAACACTGGGTTTATCTTCACATTAATGAACTGTAGAGGAAGTAATGGAAACAGGAAACTAGAAACTATTGGAATTCCTGTCAGAGAGAAAAGAGGAACACATGGAACCCTAAGAAGAAGTGTCCCCACTGCCCTGTGCAGAGAGGCTGGTTCCATGACAGTGCCCCCAATGATCTATGCAGAGGCTGGTTCCATGGCAGCATCCCCATGGAACTATGGTGAGATTGGTTCCATGGCAATATCTCCACTGTTCTACACAGAGACTAGTTCAAGGACAGCGTCCCCACCACCCTGTGCAGAGTCTGCTTCCATGACCACATCCCTACCACCTTGTGCAGAGCCTGGTTGCAATGAGGCCAAGAACAAGAAGAGCACTTGAAGCCATTATAAGAAAATGGTATGCTAGGAAGCCCCAAGCCTGTGTCCCCCCACAGAAATATTATAAAATGGCCAGAAGGTAACTAAAATGATGTTATAGATTATTATATAACCCCAGAGCTCAGTCAAACACATGGAATCCCTAGGAAATGTTTTGCTTTGTTTTGCTTAATTTGTTTCTCACCTCAGCATCCCCGTCTCCCAGAAGAAGTGGAAACGACCTTACTCTCAAAGTCTTGATGTTATTGCAATGTTCTAATCAGTCTTGGAATTGCCTAAAGGTCTGGCCTCTGTCTTGCCAGGGTTTCAGCAGAAGTGTGGCTCTTAAGTCTGAAGGAGAGCCATACATCTACACATTTTCAGGACAAGGCATTATAGCTAGAACCACATAACAGAACACAAGACACACAGCACATACAGCACATCCTTTTAAGTCTTGTTTTTGTAACCCCGATAAGAATTCAGCACTAATGACCGACCAACTCCGGGCTTTACTTAGTTTCCTGGACACATGGTTCTTGATTCAACTTGTCTTTTCTGGTTCCTTCTTTTTCTTGCCTCTACATAGGTTTCCTGCTTCTTTCTGATTCCTGCATGTGAGTGGTATGCAGAGCCCCCTCTTGAGTCTCTGTGTCTCCTGGATAGCCTCATCTCTTTTAAGACCTTCATTTCCTGCTGTCCTCTTAATTGTGATGCACAGAGGTAGTAGCCAATCTAAGGAAAAAGTGGAATGTATTCAGAAAATATGGGAGGGGGCTGAGCAAGCCAATAAACATCACTCCTCCACAGGCGTGGCTTCTGCTCTGGCCTCCAGGTTCCTGCCCTGCCTGAGTTCCTGGCCTGACTTCCCTTGATGACTCTATGGAATTGTAAGATGAAGTGAACCCTTTCCTCTCCAGGATGGTGTTTATCACATGGCATTTATAGAAAGCAAACTAAAACACTTGCATTTCTTCCCTCTTCCTAAGCCCTGTTTCCTTGGGTCATATTCCTCAATAAAGTACCAACATATAAGGCCCTGTCTTAGACTCAGAGTTCTAGGGATCCAGACATACAGGCACAAGAGGCCTGGAATAGAGTGTGTGGTGGGCATGCAGGTTGTGGCATAAAATTGCATGTCAAAGGAGGGTTGATTGAGGATGGAGCTCAAAAGGCCTTGAGGGAGATCAGACAGAGAGCCAGAGCCTTGCTGGAGACTCTTCCTGGCAGAGGGAACGAGTCAGACAGTCCCTAAGGGAGAGCAAGTCCAACATGTGAGGAATAGTACTTATACCAGTGTAGCTGCAGAAGTGGGCAGGTGCTGTAAGCCGTCATGACATGATTAGAGCCACACCATTTCTGACCTTTACAGAATGGGAAAGGGTACAAAGGGATGACAGGGCCTGACTCGGGCTAAGATGATCTCCCAGCAGCAGTGCTGAGAAAAGAGCCAGGTTAGAAGGAAGGAACATCCCCATGCCCGTCCCACTTGTGACCACAAAACCAGAGACTCAAAAGGAGCAAGGGCTTCTTCATGAGACAGCTAGCCCAAGAGGGCATGAGCTGCTTTAACCAATGATGATCTCCCTGCCGTCTGGGGTGTTCAGAAACAGACTGGGTAACCTGGCACAGGGACATTCGAGAAACCAGGCTTCATGTGGTTGAGTACAGGAAGGGAGGGGGTAAGACCTCAAGATGTTTTTAATCCCAAGACAGGATACCTGAGCCAGAGAGAAAATGAGCAGCTTCAGGTCCCAGGGAAATCAGTACAGAATTAAAACAGAGCCCATGGCTTCCTGTGCCTGGAGAGTTCACCAGTGCTTGTCCAATTCCATGCTACCATCTGAAATGAACAAACTCTATCCTCCAAACATTTTGGTTTAAATATTTTATTTGGGGCATATGAGTACAAGATCTAGGAAAAGAAGTATTGATAGGAGAAGAGGATTGTCATACACTACAAATGCAAAGATCTGGATGAAGATGGCCCTGCTCATTGGTTTTACTTAGTCATCCAATAAAATTTTACTGAGCTCTTGCTATGTGCTCAACAGAGGTAAATACAATGCTTTGAGCCTGTGCTATTTGGAACCTACATTCTAATGGTAATTATATCCAAGAATGAGAAATTACAGCAGGTCTAATGGGTGTTCTAGAAAGAAAGACTCAGCCATGCAGACCAAGGGGCGGTTAATGTCAGTGTAGCAACAGATCACCATGGTGGGAAAGGGAAGGGAAGGTTTCATTCCAAGAACACAGAGTGAAAAGCATTGCAGCTGAGGAGAGATGCATTGCCCGAGTTATAGAGAAGCCATTAGAGGATATAAGCACACATAGTTTGTAAACTGGGTACAAATGAAGCTGCCACTTGCTTAGAGGCATTGTATCAAGCTGTAGAGGCAGGATGCCGGGAAATGGGAGATCTGTTCTTACTGGGGGGGGGGGGGGGGGAGGAGGTGCACTGCTATTTCTTTCAAAGCTCCCCAGGGTTCCTAAAATACAGCAAGGTCTGAGAATCCCTGAAGTGACCAGAGGCCTCGGATAGACTGAGCTGGCCCAAGGTGCCTACTATCGCATCCGGCACCCAAATAAGAACTTGCTAGAGAAGAGGTGCCCAGGATATGTGGCTGGCTAGAGAAATTAATACTGTGAAGGAAGAAGTCACAGCTGGTTACTACTGCCAGAGTGAAGGCGTGTCCTTATGCTGACCTCCCACATCACTCCTTACTAGGGACAGGGCTGGCCCAGAGCAGTAACTGGATAGCCTCAGTAAGACAGAAGGCAAGATACTGAAAGGGGGAATCAATAGGAATCAAGGACCTCGTGGGGACTCTGTAGGTGCACCAGTGATGTCCCCAAGGTCTTTATGTAAGTGGCCTCCTGTCTCCCCCACTACAGACATTGTGACTTTCATTCAAAGAGAAACACCAGGAGGGCAGGAAGTTGGTTACTAACAGAGACAGTGAACAAGGGCCTCTAGGGCTCAGGGTAGGTAGTATTCCACTCCAGCTTTTTGCCTCTCCCCCACCAGCCTTATTCTACACTGTCTTCAGAGGGTGCCTGGTCCTATGATTGCAAAACATTCTGCACCCCATTTTGAAGAGCTGTGACATTCTGGGCACTCTCTACCAACAAGTGATTTTATATGTTTAATTCATTTCTTGCTGAGATGCCCCATCTCTGCGGTCAGGTAGAGAGCCTCTTTGGCATAAATGCCAAATGCAGAAAAGCCACCTTGTGTCAGCAAAGTCATAGGTGGTCTGGCTGTTCCCCTGTTCTGGCCATCAGCAAGGCTGAGGATATGAACCCTGAAAACCATCTGCTGTAATGGAGGGTCACTCTATGTGCAGCTTGCTTCCAAATCTCTCTGAAGAGAGTGCTGGCTCACACGCACTGAGTGGAAGGCCTCACTGTGACTCTACCCCAGCAACCAATCATCAGTCAGTCAGGTAGACTGTGGGATCCACCTGAAAGACAAGGAGCTTCAAGTCCGGAGAACACAAGCCAAGTCCAGTGGATCCAACAGCTGTGTACTCCTACCTCTCCACTTCAGGGAAACTACATGTGCATGAGGCAGAGGTGTGCACCAGGCTATAACTGAATGTTACGGTAGTGATGAGGACAGAGCAGGGATTAACAAGAGAGTAAAGTCAAGTTCATTGGCTTTAAGACCTTTTGAGATGACCTAGTCCTGTAATTTCCAAGCTTGTTTTCCTTTTGAAACAATTAAGCATGTGTATACACACACACACACACACACACACACACACACACACACACACACACACCATGGAACTCCATGGAAAGTAGTTCTATTCTGATTGCAGCAAGGGAGAAGACAAAAGTTGGAAGGAGCCTGGTGGTGGCACATGCCTTTAATCCCAGCACTCAGGAGGCAGAGGCAGGTGAATCTCTGTGAGTATGAGACCAGCTTGGTCTACAAGAGCTAGTTCCAAGACAGAGAAAACCCATCTCGAAAAACAAAACAAAACAAACAAACAAAAAAGTTGAAAGAAACTGTTGGAATATGAGAAAGCAGCTAACTCACTCCATCTATCTCCCTAATCTGATATCCCTGGGGTACTTAGAAGGACTTTGGAACTCTAGATTTCTTTAAAAAAAAAAAAAAAATCAGCCGTCCAGCCCAAACTCTTAATTTTACAGGTGGAAAAATTGGGTAGATTGTTTATGTTTCTCACTGAGTCAGTGACCACATCGTGTTAGAACATGCCCGGTTTTCCCAAGCCAGGTCTCACCTCATCCCTTCCCACCAGCTGCCCCACCCCAAGCCTCAGACCCACGCTGGAATCTTAGACAGAACTACGGAAGGAGAATTGCAGGTAGATGATGAGCAACAGGACCGTGGCCCAAAACAAGCACCAGGGAATGGAGCAGAAGTTGCAGCCTGAGCCAGCTTCGGCCTGTGGTTTGGTGGGGCTTGGCGCACGGGAGAAGGTGTAGGTGGTCGCCTCCTCCTCCAGCAGCTTCTCGCTGGGCTTCCAGTGAATGATGCCTTCCTGGCAGGCCTCGCAGAACTCGCCACGATGTCTCCGGTTGTCCTGGCGGCTGGCCACGTGGATGCGGTAGTGGCCACCACGCTCTCCATAGCACTGCTCGCGCAGGCTGGTGATGAGGTTGTCCACCAGGCTTTCGATGTTCTCCTCCAGCATGCTTGACTCGTCCAGCCGTGCTGTGCCGCACTCGTAGCACAGCTGCTTGAACACGCGCATGCGCACCGAACCAGCACGCTGGGCACGGTCCAGGTACATGTGGAAGAGGATGACTACATGGGGCGACTGCCAGGTGTGCCAGCACCAGGAGCAGTGGAACCTGCCAATGAGGGAAAAAGAAAGTGAGAGCCATATATGGAGGGATGAAAGCAAGCCAGGATGGCAGGGGTAAGGGGATGGATGTTGCAGCTGGCAGAAGCAGAGCCCAGGGTGGGGCGGTGTGCTGACAGTCCCGAGGGTTCATTAGCTTCCATAGCAGGCCACCCTCCTTGCTCTATATGAGTGCCTAAGGGACAAGAGCAGTCTCCCAAACTTGGCACCCGGCATCTAGCATTGGTCTGCTCCATGGTTGCTTTCCAGAGACCTTTTCTCCCTTCAGCCAGGTTTTCTCAGGCCTTGTCCCTTGTCCCAAGGAACTTGTTCTTCATCTATTAAATGCTCATTGAGTCCTCTGCCACACCACGTGGAAGTCTGATAGCAAATCTGAATCTGTCGGGCCAGGAAATACACAAGCCTGTCTGTCAACACTGACTGAATAGGCTAGGCCTAAATCAGGAGAAAATGAACTATTGGTACCATCAACTCTTAGCACACAGCCAAAACTAATGCATTCCCAAATCCTGGAAGTAGAGGTAATGTCAGGGCAAGGTAACCACCCCCCACAGCCAGGAGTCACAGTTCAACATCCAAATCTGAGATAACCACAAAGCCCTCCCACCCTGACCCACAAGAACCTCCAGGAACAGCAACCTGCTAACATCTGATGAAGAAACCGCCAATGTTTTCATTTTAGTCTTTTTGTTTATTTATATCTTTAGCAACTATTTCTTTCACTCAGACCACATTTGGCTTTATTTTTAAAAAGTCAGAATTGGAGGGGCCACAGAAATCAACCTGTCATTCATTTTGTTTCAGGACACAATTAAAAAGCCATCAACATACACACAACTAGTGAGAGGCAGAATCAGTACCCTGCAATGCTGACTGAAACAGACTTAACAGAACTGCTTTGGCTAAGCCAAACTAACCAGGAAGGCCTTTGCTTCTGACCCAGATACCTGCACCACTGAGCTGCCCTCGCTCAAGTCCTGGACTAGACCCATGATCTGGACCCAAGGAATAGAATGCTAGGTATTCTGAGATAGTTTTGTGGCTACAAATCACCCAGGAGCCTTCCTAAAATCAGGGTATTGAGTCTGGAAGGGGCCCAATATTCTGAAGCCCTGACAAACTAAATGTTCAGTGCTATCAACATCCCTGGAGCACAAGGTGAAGATCTCGGGGAAAGCATAATCCAAAGAGGAAAGCAGATTGCTCAAGAGACATGGAGCTAACAGTAGAGCTGGCTTCTAGCGTGCTTCGTGTGTTCAATGTTTTAAACCAAATAAAGTTGAGTTAATTAGGTTCAAACTAAACTTCCCCAATACAAGTGTACAGATCCCTTGACTCTCACTGGACCCAATCCTCCCTTTTCTCAGCTTACAGATACTTTTAAAGACCTCATTAAAGTGAAAAAATGTGTAAACTGTCAAGATTCAGAAATTAATAATTATATTATTGTAATACACACACATACATACATACATACATACATACATACATACATACATACATACATACATTTTGTTAAGTGAACAAACATATAAGAACAGGTCTCCTGGCAATCAGTATAAGAACTGAACCCAAACTTGATGTCCTTTTAGAGAAACATGACTTCTAGTCTACAGTAGCCTAACAGACTGAAGCAGGTCCGTCTCTCTCCTCCGAAGGGCTAGACCCCAGGGCTAGAGTCCCAGAAGCTATTTGCAGGTCCCTCTTTCTGGGTCACTCACCTGCCTGAGGCATGAAGTTCCAGGTACTGCTTCCAGCCAGGGGCCAACACATTGTGCTTGAGGTTGGGATCTATGATAAAGTCCCAGCTGTCAGCTGGCTTTGCCTCCTCCATCTTCTCGTAGAAGACTTTCTTCCACTCGCCTGTGGTCACACTCTTACACATGTCCTCGTCAGTAGTGACAGAAGGCAAACTCCAGTTAATAGAGAATGTGGGGAATGAGGGCAAGTGCAGGGCAGGACAGCGCAGTCTCCACGGTCTAAAAATCCTCATTGGCAGGACCAAGAGGAAGCAGGACCCAGCTCCCTCCTTTGTCCGCAGTGGAACCTGTTTCCAAGGCAACCAGGCAGGGTGCCAGGAGACACAACCTGGGGAGGAAAGAGTCTCTGGGAGGGTATTTCAGAGGCCTGATTGCAGTCAGCAGAAGCAAGGTCTCTGAGTCTAAATGATCCAAGGCAGGTTGAGGGCCTGACAAAAGGCTAGACTACAGACCTTATCATCTTGGCCTACAAGAGCATGGAGAACTGATGATTTGAGAGCTGGCTCAATTTCACCTTGCTGCCCCTGGAGGCATCATCAGCACCTGGCTGCTATGGTAACCACCATGCCTTGGGGAACCAAGGAGAAATAAGGGATGGGAAAATGTAGACTTGTTAGTAGGTAGAACCAGAATATAGTCTCCCTCTGTATAGCTGACCATGTCATACCTGAAACATTGCCATTTAATATATACCATCAGAGATCTCAGAAATCACAGTGACTATGTCACTGCAGATTGGGAGTCTGCACTTATTGTATAAGTGGCTGATGATGAGCCATTCCAACTCATTAATTCTTCTGTTTCAAGCACTCTGATGTGTCAGACCCTATGCAAGGTGCTTGTAACTGGATATCTAGTGGGGAACAGTAATGTAATGAGATCCATACTTCAAGAACCATTTACAAGAGCAGCCACCTGTGCCCAAAGGTAAAAGTCATTGCATCATCCAGGTACCTAGACAAGACTACTTCCAAGTTGGTTACAGAAGAGCAGTGGATGAAAACTATCTGAGGCAACACTGCAGGCACAAAAAAAAATCTGTAGTCTATTAACTTTTTAATGGTAAAATAGCTCCTCTTATTCACTTTGATTCAGGTTATTGGAAATATTCAACAACAATTAAACAGAGCAGGGGCTGAGGAAGACAGGCTGGCTAACCTCATTGCAAATTCATTCAGAACAGACAAGGGGAACACAGATGGGACAAGAAAAAGCAAATTTTAACCAGGGGACACTGGAACAAGGAGACAAGGAAGGACAAGTATGCAAAGAACTTTGGCTCTAAAGGGGACTTGGGGAATGGGGAAATGATTGAACAGGGGGTGGGGTGGGATGTGGGTTCATCTACTAGGATCAGCAAGGTCTGTATTAGGCTCTTGGGAAAGGGCTAAAAAGGCCCTGTGGGGTGGACCCTGTACAGGGGGACCCAGGATGGAAGCTAAGTGTGTGGATAGGTTGGGAGGTAGAGACAGAATCCCCCCCTGGGATGGAAGGAGTTCTGCAGGTGGAAGCAGGATCAGGACCTAATCTGGCAGTTGCTGCATGCTATTTGGGTAAGGACACAGTGGCTGTGTCTTGAGGATGGTCACATATGACATTGCTCTGCTAGTCTTTGCCTTCCTCTCCTCTTCCTCCAAGCTTCCTGGAGGTGTCAACAAACACCTGAGGTTAACAAAAGATGAAGAGGGGAGCTGATTCCATCTCAAGACTGGCCAGGCACACTGCAGTGGCTGAGCAGCCCAGGACCATACCTTTCTCAAGTCAGGCATCTATAATGTGATGAAACCCACTGCCTGCCAGCTGCTTGCTCCTGAGGACCCATAGCTGGTGGGCAATGACTCACCCTGTTTGGGGAGAAGCTAGACCTATAATTTTTAGCATGTTGTTTTACCTTAAAAATTTATGTGTGCTTATTACAGAAAACTTACAAAATAAAAATGAATTTAAACAAAGGCAATCTCTTCCGTAATATCCCTATCCAAGATGACTGTTGTTAGTATTAGATAAATACTAATTGTATTTGACATGTTTTATAAATAATAGCATCTCATGAATATTCATCTAAGTCATTAATATTATTAGCTAGTCATATGCCCTAGGTTGCATTATTCTGTTATATGAGTGAGCACAATTTACATCTTGTTCTTGGGGCAGAAAAGTTTAGTTCAGTCCCTTACAGATGAGCCCTTGTGTGTTTAAAACCTAGGCCTGTAACTGTGCATTCTGAGCATCAGAGACAATGCTGCTCACAATTAGAAAGCAGTCCCTCAGCTGGGCATCGTGGTTTACATTTGTAATCCCAGCATCGAAGAGTCAGAGGCAGGAAGACTGAGTTCAAGGTCATTCTCAGCTACATAGGGAACTCATGGTTAGCCATCTCAAAACATAGAAACAAAAAGAAAGCCATTCCCTGACTTCTCCACAAAGTCTCATTGTGACTGCAGAATCTTCAAATGGTATGACTTACACACAGATAGCCTGCAAATCCTGAAACTAGAGGTTAAGAAAGAAGGGCCTCAGCTGGCAAGATGTTCAGTGGGTAAAGCTTTTGCCACCAAGCCTGACAACATGCCGGAGCTCCAAACCCAGAACTCACGGGGTAGAAGAAGAGAAAGGAGAGAACTGATTCCTGGAGCCTGTCCTCTGCCCTCCACATACATGCCATATCACACATACTCTGTAAAAAAAAATGGTGATGGGGCAGAGGATATAATAAAAAATAAAAGAAGAAAGGCCTGAAAAAAAATCTAATTTTTCTATCTGGTACCAGACACAGTCCTCCAGGAGCTCCTGACTCTGCATGAACATTGTTTAAGCTCAGTTGATTTAGCAATGCAAAAATGAGAACACAGTATCTTTGACTATTAATGCATGAGCCCTGGAATAACCCATGTTCATTCATTGTTTTCTTTTGAATTCCTTTATATCTTATCCACGGCTATTCTGTATTATTTGATGAGTATCTTTTCATTATGGTAAAATGTGCCATTGTTTTATGTGAGTATATATTTAACTTTCAGCATAATAGCCACCACTAAACAACAGTAGGTGCCAGGCACTGTTCCAGATTCTTTATATACAGTAGTTTATTTAGCCACAATAGCTGTGGCAGCAGTTTCATCTTACCAACGTCCCTATGTAACTGAGAGGGTAGATAACCTGCCCAGGGTTCATTATTCAGTATTGGTTGAACTTGGATTTGCATGAGTGTGACTTCTTCAACCAGTGTGCTGTCCAGTGTAGAATTGAGAACATACTGTTTGCTAATTAAATGTGTGTGTCTCCCGTCATAACAAGATGTGCCCATTTTGGTCTCCAAAAATTGCAGACACTATGAATCAATATCCTTTCTGCAAATGCTTCACTATGGTATACTGGGGTGGCAGCTCCTCTAAATGAGGACAGAACAGCAAGCACTCCCCCAGGCTCTTTTACTACCAAGATGCAGCCTTCACTGTTGAATTTAATGAAGCAATCGCACCCACAAACCCACAATGTTTAGTATAAATATTTCAGAGCTGAAAGAGTGATTTAGTCTCAAATCCTTTTCTAAATTTAAAACCATTCCCTAATTTGTATGTCATCCTTGCTCAGGGGCCATGCTTACCTTCTCTGAAAGGTTTCAATTTTAGTATATGTGCAGGTGAAGTGAGCACGTAGTCTCAAGTCTATATGGTACAAGTTCTGTTTATACACAAAGACCCTGCAAGATCATAAACATTTGGTACCAGGTACTCAGGCTCAATGGAAAGAGCTGTGTGTCTGGAATCAGAAATTCAGACACCTTCTGCCAGCTGATTCTGTGACCTCATGACTCATTTACTTCCTCTTGGCCTTGATTTGTCCACCCATTCAGAGCAGGCAGAAAACCTGTGGTGCCCCTAACTACTGCCATGAATGGTTTAAAGAATTTTAGACTTAGAAACCTAAATAGTTGGAGGATAGGTCAGATGAGGTCATGGTATGGAAGAACGCTTCAGAGGAGGGGTGCAGGGGTGCTTGGAACCAAATGCTGACTCCTTGGAACCTGTAGTGTAGAGCCTGCCACATAGAGCCTGATGCTCTCGGCAGATGTCACAACTAGGTTTGCACTAGGGACAGCAAGAGGAACGGAAACTAAATCTAGAACCTGTTGAGTGATATTTTGTTTGTGTTCTGACAAATAAAGCTTACCTGGAGATCAGAGGGTGGGGCTAGCCACTAGTTAACCATAGAGGCCATGGTGGCTCATGCCTTTAACCCCAGCACTCAGGAGGCACACAGACAAATAATAAGGCAGGGCAGAGACAGGATCTCAGCCCCCTTTGGATGGAGAAACAGAGACAAGTAGGAAGCAACTGGCAGCTACCCCCAATTCTCTGATATTCCAGGTTTTGACCATAATATCTGACTCCTGGTTTTTATTAATAAGACTAATTAGGATCACACTTCAAGAGCCACTAAATATCAACACTGGAAATGACTCCTAAATTCTTTGGGATATTTCCTCAAATTGTTAACTAAATCAGCACTCTTGTCTCTGAATTAAGACAGTCAACTCTCAAATAAGTAAACTGCTTTAACCAACTTCTGAAAAGTGATGGAAACTGTCAGGAGTGGTAGCTGCTGGCTAAGTTGAGCTGGAGGCTGGAGTAGTTACTATAACTCCTAAAGCTAAGGAAAGCTTACAACAAACACAATCAGAATTAATCATCTAGAAGTATTTTGCAGTTGTTGCTACAATAAACATTCTGATGAAAAACAAGGATACCAAAAGTAAGAATCACTCTGTGTGTGTGTGTGTGTTTGTGTGTGTGTGTGCGCGAGTGCATTTATCCAGCTGATGCAATCCCCATTGGCACAAATTAAGTTTAATTTGAGACCTGAGCTCCCTATGCAGAGGCCAGCATGATGCATCCTTCTGTAAGGCAGAGTGCTTATAATAATTTCAAAACTCTACCAAGACAAAGAAGCAAATAGAAACCACCCTGTACCTTGCCCTTGTTGAACGAGCTCTGATGCTATGGAATCCAAACTCATAGATCACAGATTTAAGTGTCTTTGAAGCCTTTAGCTTAGATTTGGTTGTTGAGAATATGTGATAATATTTTAAACTCACAAATGGCTTAAAACTAAATCCCTAGTAGAAAATACAGTGATTAAAAGAAAAGACAGAAAACCATGTTTCTGACGTATTTGGCTTGACAAAAATTGAATATACAACTCATTATGCTGCCATTGTTTATCAAAATCCTATAAAAATAACTATTGTCCATCTTAACATAGCATGCTAATGAAAAGCAAGTACCAACCAGGAGTAGTTTCCCATCCCTATGTGCCATTTGTGGAGATAAAGGTGATTTGGGGGGAGCTACACCAAACACCAAAAGTTTCTCGTGACTCTCAATGGCCAGGAATCAAAGGTCTAAACTTCTTGAGATCCTATAGCAAAGAATCTTTCCTCCCCAAGGTCCCACAGGTGCTGAGCACAGCAGTAAGCCTCTTGTGGTCTTGACTTTATGATGAAGATGATGCTGTTACTACTCTTGATTTCCAATTCAAATGAATCATTGTGTTTCTTCCTGAGCAGAAACAGCCATTCCTTGGGAATCAAGCTGTCTACACCATCCCAGGAAAAGGTTGCTAGCATAGTGCAGGGGCTAGCTTTGAGTTTTGAGAGTGCCATAGCGACCCCTTAATCAGTTGGGACTAGACAGAAAACACAAACAAACAAACAAAAAAAACACTGTATGTTAATTACTAATTCAGAGCTGACAGTACACCTCAGGCAGTATCCCTGAAGCCTGGCTCCATAAATGAGCCTCCAAAAGACAGGTCCAGTGTAAAATCAGGCCAGATGCTTCAGAATGATGGTCTATATTGTAAAACTAAGGAGTTTGAGCTGTGAAGGTCATCTGGCTATTACCTGTCATCCCATTGGCCACCAAGCTGATTTGGCAGATCTGGCTGGGTAGGCCTCATTACTCCATGTATACTCATCCCAAAGCTGCACCTTCAGTTAGAGATGACAAGCTTCCTCAATAGAGACGCATCATTCTTTAGTCAACATTATACAAGCAGCTGCACTAGTCAACTCAAGCCTCCAAACCAGGGCTGAAGGTCCAATAACCCCATAAACTTTGGATGAGTTTCTCACAGAGATTAACTTCCCTTGGTGGCCTTAGGAAGACATACAGCTGACTTGCTCTCAAGATCTGACTTGTGGAATGTCTAGGCAGGAGTAAAGCACATTGCCAGATGTCTTGCTGCAGTTCAATATCAATCTCACAGTTCAGAGGACAGCAAAACTAAATAAATAAATAAATAAAATAAAAATTAAAAAAAAAATAACTTTTCAACCAGGCAGTGGTGGCACACGCCTTTAATCCCAGCACTTGGGAGGCAGAGGCAGACAGATCTCTGTGAGTTCAAGGCCAGCCTGGTCTACAGAGTGAGTTCCAGGACAGGCTCCAAATCAATAAACCCTGTCTCTAAAAACAAAAATAAACAAACACACAAAAAGTAACTTTTCTATCAAGCCACCCAGAGAGAATGTGTCCAGAACTTTCCCTACTTTTCCCAGTTCTTCTAATGTCTCTTCTTCAATTTTCCCACTCTACTTTCAGTGAATAGACCTCCTTGTCACTTATAGTGACCACTTCACATGGGAAATGCATTCATTTCCACGCTAACAAACATTAGCCCATGAGAATATGAAAACAGAGAAGTCTGCAAGGCGGAAACTCATGAAAGCTGGCGGTACGGTATCACTCCATGCCTAAAAGTTGGACAACTAATAACATTAGTGGTGTGAGGACCATTGTGAGAAATCACCCAAGCCAAAGCCTCAAGGAAGAGGGTAAATTTCCCTGTGCCAGTTAGTTCCTTTTATTGCTCTAGCATGCCGAATCCACAGCTCTCAGGCTGCATACACCCTAGAATACCAATGAAAGTGGTTCCCCCCAAAAGTCACAAACTCATTTAAAACATGAGTGATATTTTGGCTATCTTTTTTTTAATTACTCAATTGCTCAGTTCTAATGTGTAAACTTTGTAGATAACAATATCATATCATTGTGTCTCAAGGTTGTAAGGCCTTCAAAAGGACTGGGCGCCCATACAAACTAAGATTTCACTGCTCAACTCACTTGAAAAACCCTTAAGTAAGATCAACAGAAGTAATGCTTCCCAAAAACTTCCAGGGGCTACAAGATACTTACTGCATTTCTACAGAGCACCTCTGAATCCCAGCTTCTCAGCAATGAAACTGTTAATGAGAGATAACTTTGAACTTAGTGGAAAAAATAAGGACATGTTACCAGACTCATGGTCATGTCTGATTTTGGAATGGTTTCTCCCCCCCCCCCCCGCCTTTTTATGTTTTTCTTTCCCAGCTTACATACACACAGTAATTATGAGTATTATGGCGCACAGTATATCAGGGTAACCTGTATACCTATAAATTCAGACATTTATCATTTCTTTATATTGGTAACATTCAAATGCCTCTCCACTAGTGGTTCTGAAATGAACAAAATAGCTGTGGCCAATGCAGTTGCCCTACTGTGCCATGTTGGAAATGGTTCTTCCTCTCTAGCAGTACCATCCTGCTTCCCCTTCCTCCTTCCAGAAGATTCTGCTTTTGACAGCCTTTGGTTTGGAGGATTTGAAAGTTAGAGCTTGTTATATTTGACATAGGGGAAAAAAGTTAAGGGTTATGTGCAATACGTAAATAGGGCACAAGGCAGAGAAACTACCAAGGATGTCCTCCAATGCTGGTCACTTTGGGTACCAAATTAGTTAACCAAAACCTGAAGTGGGAAAAAAATATGGAAAGTAATGTTGCTCTCCCAAAGACCTAATCAATTCTTTAGTGGATGTGACTCAGGGGAGACAGGAAGGGGTCACTTGTCAGTCACTCAGTAAAAAGAATCCTCAAGTCCTGCTCCTGCTCCTGAGGGGACTACAACAGAGACCTTTTTCCCTAGAACCCAGTCCTTCATCCACATTGTCTCCAGGGTGAATGACAGAAGTTCCAGAGAGAGAACCCCATTGGCACTTGCTGAGCAAGGCCCTTCCCTTGAGATGGTTATGGACCATACCCACCCAAAGCTTAAGAAGGACAGGATGGCTACTGCTGGAAAGAACCCTGAAGAAATGTGGTAGAGTCAGCAAAAGATAGACCAGCAAGGTCAGTCTTCCTGAACTGAAGGCTATAGTCAAGAGCAGTATTATCTCACTCCCTCTCTAGGACCAATGGCTCCCTGAACTCTGCAGGAAGGGAAGTTCAGACCAGATCCAAGGACAGGACATTGCAGCCTTATATCTGTGTACCCATGATGAACAAGTTCTCAAGGCCCAATCAAATAAGCATTGCAGGGGAAACTGGCCAAGTGTTTACCACAGTGAAGTCATTAGTCACTGACACTGGTGTCATCTTACATAATAGCAATGCAAGGTTGTGTCTAAAGGCTTTGGCACCTAGAGCTGTTTCCATTTAGACTAAATCTTTACTATTTTCTGTTGTTTGGCTGAGTTACATTTTAGACACCCAAGACCTTTGCTTTTAAAAGCAACTGGTATCTGGAATGACAAGGTGGGGCCACATAGCCCTGCATAATATGCAGACCTATTTTAGGTGTAAATATGATACTCAGCTAAAACTTACTACAAATGC